GGAAATGGCTAGACCTATTTGACGGGATTTTCACTGGCAGATGGCTGATGTTATAAGGAGTAACTTAGGCTACTTTTATTTTAGAAAAAGAGTTAGGGTTCCTTTCCGAACAAAATATTAAAGCTAGTGTCCGACCGAAACAGGATTTTCAACCGAAACCGAAACTGAAAACGTACCTTCGGTCTGGGTATCAGTTTCGGCCGAAACCGAAACCTATTTAGACATGTTGATTGTTTTTATTGTATACTGAAATATATGTTTTTTTTTATACATATTTAATGAAAAACTAAAATATATTTATTTATTATAAAGTAAAAATCAACAATTTAACGTTAAGGAATACTTTTTTAAGTCAATTTTGTAGAAAAATCAACACTTTCACCCATAAAAGTTGCTCGCTAATTGAGAACATTTTTTATTGTGTTCACAATATTGTTAATATTATTCAATGAGAGCATTAAGTTAATATATCACACTCACACACTTACACACAATATACACACAACTGCAACTCCCACAGGCCCAAGGCCTCGCACTTAAAGAGGCCTCGCGAGGCCCCCTAAAATGCGATGCCCCCCGACTTTACCACAGATGACTAATTAATTTGATCACTTTTACGTTCGAAAAAGAAAATCACAAATTTGTGTTTGTTTGGGGCCTCGCAACAATTTCCTCTTAAATGCGACTGCGAGGCCGTTGTAACTACCTTCAAAGACCGCGATTGTTACATTGACGGAATACGACACTTGTCAGGAATTAATAGATATGAGTAGGTACGAAGGTGACACTGAAATTTCTTAGAAAATCAAAAACTGAACAAACTAGCAAGTTATTAGTTTTATTATATCTTATCAAAATAGTGTCCATTTACATCAATACATTGCTGCATCCGATGAAACCACTGAGAAAAGCACTTTGCACAGTCGTCCTTAGAGGTCTCTTTGACGGCATTTTGAAACTCAGCCACTGCTTCCTCGGCGTCCATAAAACATTTTCCTTGAAGTTTTTCTTTTATTTTCGGAAATAAATAAAAATCGCAAGGCCCGTGCTATAGGGCGAGTGATCCAATAATTCCACGTCTGAAGTCGCCATGTAGTCGATTGTTTGCTTGGCGGTGTTCGTCAAGGCGTTGTCGTGGTGAAGCAGGATCCTACTGCGAGGTCGTTTCTCCCGAACTTTTTCCAAGTTAAGTGGCAAACAATTGTTAGTGTACCACTCTGCAGTAACTGTTTTTCGATCCTCTAAAACAATTATTGCGTAATGACCTGTCCTTCCGAAGAACGAGGCCACCATCTTTTTTGCCACGCTTCAACCTCTCTTCACTTTAGTTGGCAACTCCAGTTTCAGGATCATAACGATAATGCGGCTTTCGTCACCCGTCAGTATGTTGAACACAGCATTTGAGTCGCCTCCGTTAAATGTGAACCATTTCACGACACCAATCAACACGACAGAGTTTTTGGGCCTGTGTCAAATTATATATCCACCGGGCACAAAGCTTCCTGGCCGCTAAATGTTCATGGAGGATTTGGTGCACTTGATTCATACCGATGCCTAAGCTTGTCAGAATCTGCTGTTAAGTCACTATTTTGTCAGTCTCTATCATACACCGCACAACAATGATGTTATCTTCAGTTGTCGCCGTAGAAGGCCGTCCCTCACGCAGATTATCGGTGAAATTTGTGCGACCACGTTTAAACTCATTAAACGAATTGTAAACAGTGGCACGAGATGGGGCTTCATCGTGAAAGGCCAATCGAAGTCTGTCATAACTTTCTTGTTGACTTAAATGACATCGAAATTCATAAAAAATGATTGTATTTCTCGGGTTAAATTCATGCTGACGTGACAAAGACAATTATCAATTTGCCGCCAAATCGTAAACAAATGACAAATTAATAAAATACATTCACAATAATATTGCCAAAGAGTTTCATCTTATTTATTTTTAATATATTCGTTTACAAGTAGCCAATTCTAAAAACTTTCAGTGTCGCCCTCGCATGTCGCGTCAAAGCATGTTTGGTAGGATAGATCTATTGGGTAGATCCTTGGAACAAAAAAGGGACCACGTTGATGCAATTTCGCCCACGTTTATATTAATTAACGCTACGCCTCTGATTGTAAGCTGTTATTTAAAAAAACGTCCCGCTGGGTTTCTTGCTGGCTCTTCCAAGGACAGAGGTTTCTTTTCGAACCAGTGGTAATTAAACAAAAGAGTAACTTTCTTACAAATAAAAAAGTTTCTGTTTCTGTATAATTATGACGTGAGCTGATTCGTGTATTCTGTATAATACACGAGTCACGAACTCATCCGAACGACCCACGATAATCCACGAACACTGAGTTTCGGCGCCGCCGAAACTGAAACCGAACCTTCGGTCGGTCACTAATTAAAACTAGTGACCGACCGAAGATTCGGTTTCGGTTTCGGCAAGTTTCGGCAAAAAAATCTAGTTTCGGTAATAGTTTCGGTTTCGGCAAAAAATCTGCCGAACCTTCGGCGGCGCCGAAACTGTGTTCGTGGATTATCATGCGTCGTTCGGATCGCTGTACAAATACACAATATTCGAATAACCAAATTTCTAAAATACTTGATTATAATAATAATGAGAGATTTTTTTTATTACAATATTTTAAAAGCATAGAATAAATAATAGTAGTACGTACTAAAAGTAAGTAGTATCAATTTTTTCATCATGGGTGACATTTTCATGGTTTTCGAGGGTGTTGAAACCGATAGGGTTGTCGAAATGTAAATCCAAGATGGCGGCTGCAATAGGTATAAATTTTTTCACCATGGGTGTCATTTTCATGGTTTTCGTGGGTGTTGAAGCCAATAGTGCTGTCGAAATGTATTTAAACTACTTTAAAAAATTCTGTATTATACGTTACATTTTATACGTAATTTTTTAATGCTATAATTTTAATTTTCCTGGATAGGCTTGGATAAGCCTATTCAGGTAAGCCAGATATAGATAGATAGAGAGATTAGCCCAATTATTTAAACGTGATTAAGCAACAACATGTAATAAACACCTTCACAATTATAATATTGTTAATTTCGAGGTGAGTAAAACTTTAGCCATTTATATATATGGTTGTAAAGGCGACTGCTGATCATGATGTCCCGGGTTCAAATCTCAGATCGGGGCAAGTTATTAAGTTTTTTCGTCATGAATATCTCATTCTTATCGTCTGCCCGTAGTCAGAAAGTTGGAGGTGTCTCACTCCTGTGCCTCGGAGAGCTTGTAAATCTGTTAGTCCTGCGCCTGATCTCTCTCCGGTTGTGTCGGGTTACCGTCCCATCGGACAATGAGAGTGAGGGAAAAGTGAGAAAAAGATATCGCTGTTTCTTTCCTTCACGTTAGTATAGATTGCAATTTCAAAAAATAAATACAAATACACATAATTATGTCCGAAGAAACTTGAAATGTTAATTCCGTGTTTTTTTTTACGTGGTAGAGCCATGCTGCAGCTATATTACTGGTATAGTTGTAGCACGAATGGGTCGGCTCGACTGGGGAAGGACCACGATCCTACAGAATACCAGCGTAAAATAGCAGCATAATGCTGCTGTGTTTCGTATGGTGAGTGTAGAGAACCGGAGACCCTTTTTTACTGGAAACGAGGCATTTCATGTTAGTCCTCACTGGTGACAACGCATCTGCATTTTGATTCGTAATCGAGGATTGATGTAGATTTCTATGGGCCACAGCAACCACTTACCATCAGGCGGACTGTGTGGCCGTTTGTCACTCTAATTCCATAAAAAAAAATACTTTTTTTGGTTTACACCTTGCAGTAATACATATTACTCTGAGGTTAGCACAATTAATTGATTAAAATTAAATGATTAAATATTAGCAGAATCCTATCAAGAGAAATCATGATTTAAATTAAGAAAAAAATGACATTTATTTGTCAACTCAACTTCTTTTATATTGAACATATTTTCTCAAATTAATTCTAATTTGTATTTCATAGGATTAAATTTTAATATTTATTACTGCTTTTTGCCTTAATACCAAAGTGAATTCGAGAAATTTTGGTACAATCTTTCAAATATATGGGAATTTGCCCAATAAGTTTGTAAGGCTTATGGAAAAATTACTAGAATTGACCTTAAATAAACAAAAAGTTTAAAAGTTACAGAATACAATTGTTTAAAATTCCCGCGAAAAAAGTTTCATTTGGGCGCCCATTGTGGCTCTAGTATTATACACTCATAGATGCGTGTTTCATTTTTTTAGTTAGGAGATAGCATTCTTCTCTCGGTAGAGAGTAATTGTGTTCTGTGCCCCCGATTTTTTAATTTAAATTCTCTTTTGTCGCCACATGGCATAAATTAGATCACTTACATAGTTTGTTATTTAATTTGGTCATTAAATTAATTTGGTTATTAAATTGGTCGTCCTTCAAAGTAGCTAGAAATAGGTGCAATCAGATGGTACGTGCAGCTAAACGCCGATATTTTCATAATTGTATTTATAACTCTTCTCCCGCTGAAGTGTGGAAATTTCTTAGATCTTTTGGTCTTTACAGGCCAGCTATTATGGATTGTGGTCCTTCTATATCTTGATGAAATCAAGCAAAATTTCGCTTCTGTTAAAGCAATGGACTTTGCTATTCGCTCCCAAACTGTGGCTTCCATTGCTTCTATGTGAACTCCTAACATTCTACCTAAAACTTCTCTCCTGTTTCTCAGGATGATGTTAAAAAAATCTATTTTAGCAATTCAGTCCAAGGCGGTGGGTTATGGTGAGATTAATAGACATATGATAGTATTTATCCTAGAGCACCTTCTTCCAGCAATTTCCCATATTATACGTTTTTCTTTTGATTCCAGTCAGTACCCTAATTTTTGTAAAAGGGCTTTTATGTGGCTCCTTTCTAAAGATTAAGTTTTAATTAAAATTTTAAAATCTTGAGTTTTCAAGCGAATTTCTACTTTTATTTCGAAATATAACATACTTTAATTAGTTTAATTAACGTCATAGATGATACTAGACAAGGTATGGAAGATAAAAAAGTAACCGTACGGGTACTAGTAGATTTCTTAAATGCTTTCAACACAATTGATCATGAAATCCTTCGTTCTATACTGTCTCATCAAAATTTTGGCTATACTACATTGGAATGGTTTGCATCTTATCTTCGCGGTTGACAGCAGTCAGTCTTTGTGGGGTAAAAAACCTCATCTTGGGTTGATGTGTGGAAGCTGGTGTGCCGCAAGGTGGTATTCTTTCTCCTTATTTTTTCAGTTTTTATAAACTTTATTACCTCCATCTTGCACGTACCATTTGTATGCCGATGACCTTCAGCTATACGGGCAAGCTGAATTATGAGATATCCATAATTCTATTAAAAAACTAAACGCCAATTTATCAGCTATCAAAGATTGATCCTCTCGTTATGGAATTTTGGTCAATTCGTTGAAACGCCAAGCTATAGTGGTGAGTAGCTCAAGAATGTTGGTTAAGATTAATCTTGCAGACTTACCTTACAACAAATATATTTTAATTCCGTTCAGTAATTCTGTAAAAAATCTTAGCCTACATATCGACAGCACGCTGAATTGAAGAATCAGGTTTTAGAAGTGAGTCGTGAATTTATAGCCACACCATGTGCTCTGTATCGTTTAAAATATATTCTTCCCACAAAATCTAAGATCATACGTGTTCCTTAATTGATTATGCAGACGTGTGTTAGTCGAATCCGTCCCAAGATCTTCTGAATAACTAAAACGCCTTCTTAATAACTGTATAAGATTTATTTTCGGGCTTCGTAAGTATGAGCATATTTCGCAATATAGATCTTAGCTTAATTGACTTACAATCCGGCAGAGGTGCAATGCCAGAATATTACTTGATCATTTTTTAATGTTAAATTACCCATTTTAAGACTAAATTTTACTATCTCTCCTTGTCTCACGATAGGATTCTCGCTAACAACAAAATCTGTATTTCTTTTCATTTCACCAAGTTCTATGATAACCCCTTTACAGTTCAGGCTACACGTCTTTGAAACTCCTTGCCCGATGACATCAGAAAAGCTCCCAATAAGTCTAAATAAATAAAAAAATAATTTGTACAAATTGCAGTATATTTGTACGGTGGTGCCATCTATTATCAAGGATATAAAGTAGATAGTATTATATGGTCTTACTAAATTAAAATTGGTTTATATTTTAGATAACCTATCCAAGCGGAGTGGAAGTGGAGGAAGGCAATGAGATCACTCCAACACAAGCGAAGGATCAGCCCACTGTGTCGTGGGACACTGAGCAGAATGCCTTCTACACCATCGTTATGACTGGTATGTGTAGCAGTAACTTTCTCGAATGGAGGTGGTAGAGCCGTGGTAACTCAGGGACTAGGTGTCGTCCTAAATGAAATTGTTAATTGCAATTTTAAGTGCTGATTTACGTGTTAGAGCCATAAAGCAGCTCTCTTATGGTTGCAGTATGAAGTGACCCCTTCATGCTCGACCGGGGAAGGACCACACTGTCACAGAATACCAGTGTAAAATAGCAGCTTAGTGTTGTTGTGTTTCATATGGTGATAGTAGAGAACCGGATATCCTTTTTACTGGATACAAGGCATTTCCATCTTAGTCCTCAAAGGTGACAACGCATCTGCATTTTGATTATTAATCGAGGGAAGATTATGTCAGGTGAATGGGCAGCAGTATCCACTTACTATCAGGTGGGGTGTGTTCTCGCTCGTCACTCTAATTCTTTAAAAAAATTGCCACGTGCTTAGCGGTGTACGAAAACTTTAGGAAACCTATCTGACTGAGCTATCAAATAGTATTTCAAAAAGATGTGGAGTCTTACAACACGTATTGGCTGTCCTAATACTTCCGCAGCAGACACTTCCGTGCTTTTAGAACTTCTCATAAATCAAAGGAGCCTTATGCCCAGCTGTGGGACGTAAGGCTGTATCCTTTAACAGGGTTCCAAGCAGCATGTCAGCTGTATACGAGCTGTATTGGAGTTCCTTTTTATACTAGAAGCTACATTTACTGGCTGTACAAAGGCTGTATAAGAGCTTATACAGCTCTTATAAGTAAATAATTGGCACAAATTATACAGCTTTATGCGTTAGTAGCGCTGTACAGTAGCTGTACAAGCATAAAAGGGGCTGTATAATAGCTGTATTATAGCTGTTATTTGGTGTACAGGGAAATTATTACACTACAAATACTATCTTTTTAGTGTATTTTAAAGATAAACTTTCTAAATTGGTACTTGAACGGTATTACTAATGAATTTATGACAAACATAACTTAATAGATTTATTTATATACTTTATTGAATGATGGCGACATTTAGTGAGTGAGATTATATTACATATTAATATTACTTGGATTGGATTTGAGTTATAACGGCGATAACTGGAAAGTGCAAAATTAGATTTACGGTAAAATTGTATATGATTTCTATCTAAAAATTGCCACGCCAGCAAAATATTTAAATAATATAAGGACAAAATACTAAATATGGTAAGTAAATATTGATTTTATAGGTTAGAATAATAATAAAATAAAATAATAAGGTAAGTAAGAAAAATAAAAGAAATAAATAATAATTAATTAGTGAATATTAATGCATATTGGAACACAGTGATCATTAGTCAAACTAAAAATAATGGTTTAGACCAAAACTAATGTCTCATATTTCTAAATTTACAATTTAAATTTTGTTTTTATAGGTCCTAAAATGGCGACAATTTGCTAAACAACCTAAACGATATTTCGAGGGTCTTATAGTCTTAGTAGCTGTACTATGTATGTTATGGATTCTATCATACAGCCATTAGTTTTTAATCAGCTGTATAATAGAATATTTTTATTACTAACGCTGTAAGTAGTTTTTAAAACATCACAGATAATTGTCTTTAGAGATATGTATAAAAGATGAAAAACCTTTGTCTTAGAAACAACACTTTTATACCTTCTTCATTTTATCTCATTTAAATAATAATATTTTAAGATGTAACCATGTTTTAAAAATTTTGTTGTTTTATTTTATGGACAAGGACAAAGAAGTGCTTACTTCTTTCACTTCTTTTAAGACAGAGACTATATAAAGCCACACTGACAAAGTTAATAAATTGAAAAAATATTTCGAAATGATTGTACTTATTGGCAATAAATTACTACCCCTTTGATTCAGTTAAATTTACAAACCATACCTAAAATATGACTACCTTTAGCAAATAAAGATTACCTATACATCTTTTCTTTCTAATGTTAAAAAGTGGAGTAAAGAATTAAAGCTATCTTATCTTTGCCAAACAATATTAAGGAAGGTAGATTTTATGACAGAATATTTTATCTCGCTCAGCAGTACGGTACCAGTAGGAGCATGTTGTTTATTTTGTTATTGTGCTTAGCTGGTTAGTTGATAGGTAACTCCTGGCAAGCGCATGCGCATGTCGTTTTTAGTCATACTCTTACGTCACGTAGGTACGGCAAAACCAAAAGAGTTAGCTATTTTATTTGATACATAAGTTAACTTATTGTGAAGTAATTTGACTGTGTTGTGTATCTTATACTGGTTTTATTTTACTTTTTAGGAAAATATGCCGTTTAAAATTTTGGAAACCATAGAGGAAGGGAAAAATTGCATTTTCATTGTACCAAGTTTGTGGGAATCAAAAGGCGTTTTAAGATGGCCAAAAAAGCGATTAGATGCTAATATATCTAGCTAATAAAATCTACAATTTGCAATTGTAGCTAAATCATTTAAAGCTACTTAAGATATATTTCTTTCTGTGTCCCAATTCTTTATTTGCTGGCAAAATAAAAGAATTTCTTAAAAATTCGCTGTTATCATCATTTGAACTACTTGTGCTGCTGCATGATAAATCATCATAATCAGGCGTCAAAAACTAAGTTACATTTGACATAACTGTGATCATGATTAACACTGTTTAATGATTTTGTTACGGAACGCTCTTTGCTAGCCGTCGATGGGATTGACGCTTGACTGTAGCCTGTCTGATTTATTAAAGTATTTCTATATTCTTCAGTATCACTATTATTTCGTTGATAATTTATAATATTTAAATATTCCCTTTTAATCCTTCTTATAACTGCACCAAATATTTTTCTTTTTATACACATATTGATAACAAATTAATTTGTTCACTATAGCACAATATATTAAACACGCAATTACGCATTCAAAATGACGATATTCTATCACTTATACAGACTTAATCTGTACTATAGCTGTTATTTTTTTTTAGTTTTATATCACTCTCATAGACAGAAGTTATAAAACTACTGTATTTACAAGAGTGTACAATTACGCCATAAGAATAAGTTTTAGAAGGGAGTTCACATATATCATTGTACAGAACTAATATTTGAATGATACTATTATAACACTTAAAGCAAGTGACTGCATGCAAAAAACAGCTTCTATACAGCTTTAATGATAAAATCAGATTGAAGTATTACAAAATACTTAAAGTTGTATCGTAGAGTTTTCATATTCTGATTAAAAACTCTAAGCTTACTTAGATCCCATAATACAGACTTTATACAGCTTGAGCTGTATAATAACTCATAAACCACTCTTATAAGGGTATAATCTGTTTTCGACACTTTTATACGCTTCTCAAAGAACTCTAAATTCTATATGGCCGGGTATATTGATGTTCATAACGCTTGTGTCCAAGCAGCCAATTGGGGTTGAACTGAAGTATCATTATCACGTGGCAAAAAGAGAATACAGTTTTTTTCGCTGTTTCTTCTTCCGCCAGTGGAACCCCACTTCGAAACGACATTTGACGAACAAAATTTTATTTTATTACGTCGACGAAATAACTAAATTTCATTCCATTCGTTTTAAATGTATTTTATTTCATGGATCGTCGTCTCTCTGCTTCCAGACCCTGATGCGCGAATCCGTGAATGGCAACACTGGCTGGTGGGCAACGTTCCTGGATCGGACGTTTCTAAAGGCGACGTCCTCTCCGCACACGTGGGAGCTGGACCAACACTAGGCACCGGTCTGCACCGATACGTCTTCCTTGTCTACAAGCAGCCGGACAAGATTGAATTCGACGAGGAGCGCCTGACTAACACGTGAGCAGTGATTTAAAAACTTATTTTCCTAGCCTTCTCAGAAAAGATTGTGATAGCGAGGTTTTGGTTGAAAAGCGTGATCACAGTCCAACTAATGGTGCGTTTTCTCTGTATATTATGGTAATCATCACATCACGAGAATATTTCTGATAACTTGCTAACTATTCCTGCTAAGTGTGGCAACCATAGAAAATATTCCCCATAGAAGGCAATCTATGTGTTCAGCAGTGGACTTTTGATGGGCAGTAACGAATGAATAATGATTGAAGCGAAATTGCAGGAGGGTTGTGATTACTCATAACCACTACTCATTATTGAGTGTGAACACCACTGATAGTCATAAATAAAGACGTGCTCATAAAAACATACGGCGGTCACCTTAAGGACACGGATGGAATGCTTCTGCTCTGTTTAAATGTTGGAATAGAGTGTGCATCGTATGAATAAATTCCTCCCACTTCCTCCCACCATCGCACAAGCAGACGCTCAGCAAGTCTCCACGCATTTGTAACTACTAAACGTTTTGCGTTCTTGTTTACAATACATGTAGTAATGGAGTGGAAAAAATTGTCTTTCCATCCAATTGTATGTCCTCAAGATTAGAATAAATAGGATTATGCTAATACAGTACGCATCTATTTACTTATCCGATTTACTAGGTAGAAAAAGGTTTTATTTTTATTTGAACCCAACTTCTTAATCATATGTTTATTAATTTATTGTTAAAATTTCAAGTGTAACTGTTTCGCTTACATTAGATGTAAAGGTAGCATCAGATGCCCTTAAAGATACTGTTGCGCGCCACGATTAATACATGGTACATGGCGACACTAGTCACCACTAGTGCCTTCTAGTATCGAGTAGCATAACTAGGATAGTCAAGAACATTCTAGAAATTTCTATAGTAGAAGGTTCTGGAAACCACCTGAGGCCCTATATAAGGCCGGTATAGACCGCGACCGAGGCAGTATTGACTTGGCGTTACAAGCGAATACTTTGAAGCGATACAACTGCGAACTAAAGTGATCTGTAATACAATTGTGTTTTGTTATATTAGTGTGGTTTAAAGTTATTATTATTGTTCTGTACTTAAAGTGTCAATTTTGGTAATTCACTCGGCAGTTTGTAATTGTCTCGAACCCCAAGCTCGTAACAATACGAAGGACGTTGCTACGTGAACGGGAAAGTGCTGAAGGAAATTTTCACAAATTATTATTTAAAAAAAAATACTAGTAATGTTATTAAACATTACTAATATTCTCTTTAACCACTTCTGGTAAGCTTAAAATGCTTGTGTTAGAATTGGTTCACGACAGTAGTCGATTGGCGGATTCGAACCCACGACCTTTCGAGTTCGCGGTCGCGTCCTGCCATTAGGCTACTGACGCTTCACTTGTGAAGGCATAAGAGCTAGCTAGAAAACTGGGTATAGTTATTATGAGGCCCCGTACTGCGCCTCGGTAGACTTTTCGCGATAACTATCAAGGAAATGTTTTCGGAGGAATTTTTATATTCCACTGATAGATAGCATGATGACTGAACTACAAGACCGACTTTCTGCGGATATGATGAACCTGTCCGGATCAGGCATTTTTATATCAAAAGCTAAATATACAGCAGAAGATCTTCTTAATGTGAAGAAAGTATCGGAATATTATACCCATTTCTTGAGTGTTCCTGCTGCCACTCTCGTTACAGAGTATCAGAGATGTACTTCAAAGTAGAAACCTGAGAACAAAGATAAAATTCATAAAAAAATCTTAAGTGTGTGATTTCTACAATCGAAGTTTACGACGATGATCTCTACCTAAATATAAAGACTGCTAAAAATTATGGCAACTCTTCCTATAAGCAGTGCGACATCAGAGAGATCATTTTCTAAGGCGTGTAAAAACTTGGTTGACAGGAAACATGTTAGAAGAGAGGCTGACAGGTTTAGCTCTTCTAAATATCATCCAGATATAGCCGCAGAGGTCAAAAATCGTATCACCCGATTTGCCAATAAAAATGGAAAACTTCCATTTGTTTTATAATGTGTGCAATAAAATTGTGTATTGTACAAAAAATTCTAATTTTCTCGACATATTTTATTATAAGTTACCGCCTCCAAAATTTCAGGCTCCGACCGCGCCTGCCCAGAGGTTATTATCATCCATAAATTCTTTAATATTTTAATAACCCTTTTTATACAAACTTTGTTTAATAAAATTTTTGAACTTTGAGCAGGTCAAATTTTGTATATTTTCTGGCATTTTGTTGTAAAACCATATACATCGCTCTAAGAATTAATTACTGACTCGGTAGAGTCGAGTAACTGGTACTACTAGCTTGTGCCTATTTCTAGTATTTACAGAATGAATATCACTTATTTTTGTATTACTAATTTTATTTTTATGTACGTACATTTCATTTTAATAAATGTATTGAGAGGCCAAAGTTCATATATTTTTACGAGCTTGGGGTTCGAGACAATTAAAGACTTCCGATTGAATTACCGACATTGACACTTTAATTACAGAACACTAATTACAATATAAAACCACACTAATAATAAAACACAATTTGTATAGTTTTCTCATCTGGTTGGGCTGTATAAATATATAATTGTAAATGAAAATGATAAACTTACATAAATATCAATAAAATAAAATAAATACATAAAAATTACATAAATATATAAAAACCCAACCAGATGGAAGCCCTCGGCAGGGGAGACCAAACGGCCGAGGGTTAGGGAGAAAGGGAAAGAAACCGGCGGACGATGCGGGCGGTATCGAGGAGCACCGCCTTCTGCATTTGAGCTTGGAGCGATCCGTCACGGAGTCCCAGTCGCCTCAGATGACCCGAGAGGCTGACTGGGATTAACCCGTTCGCAGAGACGACCACAGGAATAATTTCGGCCGGCAGACCACCCCACATGTCGGTCACCTCGTGAGCCAGGTCCAGATATTTTGTCAACTTATCTGTTTCGGCTTTCACGAGGTTCTCGTTATAAGGAATGGTAATGTCGACCAAAAATATCCTTGACTGTGCCCGGTCTATCAGCACAATATCAGGCTTATTCGCAAGAATAGTCCTGTCCGTGATGATGGCCCGGTCCCAGTAGAGCCTGGCGCGGTCATTTTCGAGCACGGCTTCCGGCAAGTAATTATAATATGGCAGTTTCCGATCCACGAGACCGTATTTCAGAGCGAGCTCCTGGTGTAGAATCCGGGCTACTAGGTTGTGTCTGTGCAAATACCCAGAGTTAGAAAGCGCCGAACAACCGGAGATGACATGCCTAAGTTACTCACCGGGATGGCGACAAGCTCGACAGATGTCGATAACGCCATCCTTTAGGATGTATTTCCGATAGTTGTTGGTCTTAATAACCTGATCCCGTATTGCACAGACAAAACCCTCGGTTTCCCCAAAGAGGTCACCGAAACGTAGCCAGTGGAGTGAGGCGACTGTGTCTACGCAAGGCTCATGTAGAGCCTTGTAGAACCTCCCGTGGAGCTCCTTTTCCTTCCATACGGTCTCCCGGTCGGAAATGCTCTGTACTGCCGGGTCTTGCCATTGCTCGTTGGCTAAGGATAGAGGGGTAAGTCCTTTATCACAAGAAATAACGTCCCTATAGAATGGATCATCCGCTCTCGTCAGAAAGTAATTACGGAGGCTGCACACTTCGCGATTATGCAAGGTAAGCGCGCTTAAAAAGCCGCGCCCACCATGCTTCCGCGGCAAGTACAGCCTCATTACTGACGATCTCGGATGATGCATCCTGTGGGACGTCATTATAGTGCGGACTTTTCTGTCCATAGCGTTCAGTTCGCTCTGAGTCCACCTGAGCATGCCAAAGGTATACATGAGAACAGGCATGATCCAACCGTTATATGCATGTGTCTTATTAACGCCCGACAAAAGACTGTTAAGCACTTTTGTCAAGCGTGCATAAAACACACCGCAAACTGACCGTTTCATGTCCGCCTCATCGATACCTATGTTCTGTGACATACCCAGGTATCGGTATGTTTCAGCCTCGGATAGGGTCTTTATGTTGATGGGCATAGATAAGTCTATGCCCTCAGAGTTAGCAACCCTACCCCTTTCGCCATGGAGGACCGCACACTCATCCGTCCCCAGCTCCATTCTAATAGAATTGCTAAAATCACAAGTGATGTTTCCATATTATGAGAGCGACTGGAGGCGAATAACTTGAGATCATCCATATAGAAAAGGTGGGTCACTTTTGTACCTCCTTTCCGAAGCTGAAATCTCCTCCCGGAACCCTCCAGTAAGGTACTAAGAGGGTTCAGAGAGAGGCAGAACCAGATTGGACTCAGACAATCGCCCTGGAAGATACCCCTTCTTATCCTTATGTGGTTCTCCGCAGCCGTCATCCGCTCGCCTAGATGACAAAGGATCGTACTCCACTGCCCCATACACTGCCCGAGGAAGTCTCGAACTGTACAGTCAACCTTGTACAGCTCGAGGACCCTCTTCAGCCATGTATGAGGCACCGAGTCGAATGCCTTTTTGTAGTCTATCCAGGCGGCGGAGAGGTTCCGACGGTTGCGTTTAACCACCTTGCCAATGACCGCGTCAATGAGGAGTGGTTCCTTGGTTCCACGACCGCCGCCCCGACATCCATTTTGAGCGCGCGACATCACCTGATTTGAGTTCAGGTGACGAGTGATTCTCGCGCTCAAAATGGATGTCAGTGTCTTGTATATGGTAGGTAGACACGTTATGGGGCGGTATTTGCTCGGGTCTGTGGAATCTCGGTCTTTAGGAACCAAATGAGTGATCCCAGTAGTGAAGAGGCTCGGGAGCGACTTTTGGTCGAGAGCCTCTTGAAACTGTCGGGCGAGAACAGCGTGACACACCACGAACCCCTTCAGCCAGTAGTGATGCAGTCCGTCGAGTCCCGGACTTTTCCAGTTCGGGGCCCTACGGACCGCCTCAGCTATGTCATCCGGCGTAATGATGACGGGGTCCATGGGCGTAACATTCGCACACTGACTCGCCACAAGGGTCTTCATGCTTCTTCAGGTCGTCTATGCGCTCCGTCAGTTTTTGCGTTATATCCGGCTGGGACAAACTGATATTTGTCCCAGCAAACGCCATCCTGACGGTGCGCACAATTCTCGGCCTATTATTGCCCGACCTGAAGCTTATCAGCCTGCCGATGAGGGCCCTTGCCTTTGCGATAAGGTCCTCAATCCTTCTTCTCCAGGCTGGGATGGCGCTACTTTGTCTAGTAGCGCGTCCAGCCTTGGGAAGTTTGGCGCCAATAATACGGCAAACTGCCAGTGCGGCGCCAAAAAGAATTGAGTCCGTCTCGCAAAGGTCCCGGCTGGCTTCCAAATAGGTCACCAGCATTGGGTTGAGAGCCCTCACGACAGCCCGATTCCGCTTGCTTAGGGGTATACGGGGAAGTCGCGGTCGATTCTCGAGAGGCGTACTGCACGTTTCCCTAATCGCCTCTTCCACTATGCTCCTCATTTGCTCTAGTTCTGGGGCGACTATTCCATCGTCGCCTGAGTCAACTACAAGGAGATCTACGGCGGCATCTACATGTGCGGGTTGCTCTGCAACTCGTAGAGCCGCATCTCCTGTCGTAGCATTTTAATTCGACAAAGGAATAGCCTCACGTCGTAGCCGTTCGAGTTCGGCGTCATCAAATATTTTTGAGCGCATGATGTACCGAACTCGGTCTGCCAGGTTTTGCTCGGTAACGGTAATAGATGGCTCCAGCTCAGCAAATAGTCGGTGCATCCTAGCCCGATACCCAAAACCTCCAATTTCTCTCCCTTTCGCCCCAAAATACGCCCGCAATGCATTTTTATTAATTTGCATTGACCAACGCATGCGGCGTACTCCACCAGTGGCGGGTGCTGATTGCTGGGCCAACGAAGACCCTGCCAACACCAAGCCAGCTGGTGGGGATGATGGATGCGAGGGGCTGCTGGGTGATCGTGCAGCACCTCGCGGTCGACTGGCGGTTCGCATGCTGCCGCGTCCAGCGCCAGCTCCAGACGCGCCCTGGCGACCTCCAGGCAGCGGCCCTTTGCGCGTATTTCTTAAATCCATCATCCATGAATTGGGCGTCAGTTAACGGGAGACGCCCAGACCCGGCACCTTTTCATGGTGAGGCCATGTGCACAATCGGGCCTTTGCACCTCCAATTTTGCCGAGGCACGGCGCTAACACCTCTTGGCAAGGTGCTGACTGACTGCGCTGACGTAGCAGTTTTGTCACATAACCGTTACGTCAGCCGGCGATGGGGTCGTCACTTCCCTACGCCTTATTTTACTACTGATCACTATAAACACAATTTTACTACTGATCACTATAAACACAATTTTACTACTGATCACTATAGTTCGCAGTTATTTCGCTTCGAAGTATTCTATTATATCGCCAATTCAATATTGTCTCGGTTATGGTCTATACCGGCTTTATATAGGGCCTCAGATAGTTTCCAGAACCTTTTCTGTAGAAACATCTATAATGTTCGTGCTACTCGACACTAGAGGACGCTAGTGGTAACTAGTGTGGGGACATACAAGATATTAATAGTGGTGCGCAACACTACCCCATCCTAAGACATGCTCGTCCCGAGCATTATTGGTCCCATAATATCGCGCCAGTCGATCCACATGGACAATCTTAGAAGTACCTCTTCTAACATCAATCAGCACCTGCCAGTTTCCCTGCTGCTGCTGGGCGGTGCTGTTAGCCATACTACCCTCTCGAGATTGATCACCTTCCCTTTCTAGAGCTCGCTTAGGGCAGCTGGATCAAAGATGGCCCCTCTCCCCACAGCCGTAGCACCTAAGCTGTATCCTTTATTGCGGTCGCGAACTGTAGCTGCTGAAACCTCCCTGACGCGATGGGAACGATGATCCTGCCGCAAGGCTTTTACCTCCAGTGCAGTGTCATCTTTAGGTGAAATCGGCATATTTGATCCCACTTCCGACACCAATTGTTACGAGCTTGGGGTTCGAGACAATTAAAAACTGCCAATTGAATTACCAAAATTGACACTTTAATTATAGAACACTAATTACAATCTAAAACCACACTAATAATAAAACACAATTGTACTACTGATTACTATAGTTCGCAGTTATTTCGCTTCGAAGTATTCTCTTATATCGCCAATTCAATACTGTCTCGGTCGTGGTCTATACCGGCTTTATATAGGGCCTCATATAGTTTCCAGAACCTTTTCTGTAGAAACATCTAAAATGTTCGAGTACATATCGGTCCCGAAATTTATAGAAGGATCTTGACTCTCCTAGTTCTGCTACTCGACACTAGAGGGCACTAGTGGTAACTAGTGTTGGGATATACAAGACATTAATAGTGGCGCGCAACAATATTAATTCCTTAAATATTTGTCAGAGCGACTCTTAAGGTTTTAAATCATATGGCCCTCTTTTGTAAAACAAATATAATTTCAGTGTCAGTTGTGTGTCCCCATAGCAAAATACCATACGACATTATGCTATGAAAATAGCTAAAGTAAACAAGTGTAGCTGTTTCCACACTAATAAGATTTCTAATCTTTTTTACAGCATATGCTGCAGAACTAAGTCTGCTTGCTAATTTTGATATATAGGGACTCCATTGAAGCTTAGCGTCTAATGTTACTCCAAAAAAAATGGTGGTATCGACAAAACTCAGTTCCTCCCCATTTAATATTACATTATTATTTAAATATTTGACATTTGGAGGCATGAATTTGATACATTTCGTTTTAGTGTCCTTTACATGCAAGTTATTAACATTAAACTAATTTACTAATTTAGATGTAGCATTATTTACTTCGTCGTATTTTAATAATTGTCAATTTAATTTGAAAATTAATGAAGTGTCATCAGCAAATAATACTATATTATGGTTATCCTTTACTATGTAAAGTAAGCCATTAATATATATAAGAAAAATAAAGAGGCCGAGAATTGTCCCTTGAGGCACGCCCATTTGTACTATCGACCCGGAAGAGCTCATACTATAAAAGCTTTTACAAAAATTTACTTCGCAAATATCCGCGTTATAAAATAAAATGATGTGTCTTACCTAGTATTAAGAAGCACCTCCCGCCCTCCCTCAATTGCGTGCACTATCCCCGTCACCACTAATCCCAGCACCGCTACTTCCAACACCACTACACTAGGCAAGACACACCACTGACGACAATACGACACGTGTTTCGCCTCTACACGAGGCATCCTCAGGTGATATAGACTCTACGGTGGCTAACCGCTAAGTGAGCTCATACTATTAATAACAACTTTTTGCATTCTGTTACGTAAATATGAAACAATTAGTTTAAGAGCATTACTTCTTACTCTTCGTTGTAGTTTCCTCATTATGTTTCATGGTGAACAAAATCTTACTTACTTGCACTCAATTTTATTCAAACTTACTTACTTACTTTCACTATATTTTGATTGGTTGCTTTATATAAGTGTTGCAAGTTTTTCATTCAATAATGAGCGTTATTCACAAAAAGTAGGTTATGTTATGTGCTGTTTACATCAGTGATTTAAATTCAACTAGCTCCTCCCAAACAAGATTACTATGTAATAATCTTGTTAATCTTGTTAGTTATACCGTGCATTTTAATTTTATAGTATGCAATAACTAAGAAACTTGTATGGTGTAAATGGGCCTTAATTAATTTACACAATATATAAAAAGTAAATGTCATACGTCAAAATGAAGCAACCACGATTCTCATCAGAGTAACCAAATCACACTCCTTATAATACAATATATACATATATATATATATATATATATATATATATATATATATATATATATATATATCTGTTAGTAGAGAGGATTTTTCTGTATCGCCACGATTGGTAAACGATTTGGTTGCGTTGATTTATGAATTATTAAAAATGCTACCCCCACAATAGGGATTTCTCCTGTATCGTGGAGGCAGTTTACAAACACAAATTGCGCAAGAGGTAACATCCAGACCCGGAACAATTATTTGTAGGCCATACAAATACTTGTTCCTTGCGGGATTCGAACCCGAGTCCTCAGCGCAGCAACTCATTGCTAAGCCACTGCGCCACGGAGCCGGTTTGGCGTTTGGCGTATCATTTCTCATAGTCATTTTATATGATAGCAGCAAGACATTTAAAATGATTTATAATTATCATTCCCACACCGATACTGCAAATTAATAAAGACCAGTACTCAGTCTTTCGAGGAAGGGATTTGGAGCAACAAAAATATGAACATGCCAATATACATTAGATTATAATCTATGTAGACGAATTTCGCATGTCCTTGATTTATTAATTAATGGGCTATGCGAATTATTTGAAGTTTTAACTATAAGTTATTGATTACAGTTCCGCTAAAGGGCGCGATGGTTTTTCGATTGCAAAATTTGCGGAAAAATACAACCTTGGCAACCCAGTCGCCGGCAACTTCTACCAGGCGCCGTATGACGACTACGTACCCTTGCTCCACAAGCAACTTGGCGAATAAACATCACATTGTATCCTGAGCCCTGAATTCATATCATTGTGGCAATATTAAAGACCGAATTTTGTAACTTCAAGTGGAGTTGTGCTTTACAGCCAGTAAAAGCGAATATATGTATTCAGGGTTACTATATTTGAAAATACATTTAAAAAATCCAATAATGTTTTCAATGATTTTAGATTCCTTATATTAGTTGTTGGGTTGGTATTATTTTCTCTTATATTGTAAGAAAAAATATTTATCATTACAATTATATCACTACACAGATCAGAACTTTGTTTTATATTCCAAATCCTTTGTGTTGATTTTTGTTTTATTGTCGGAACACCCATGCCCCAAATCAACCGACAGTCTAAGCTAAAACATTGTTATGACTAAGGATAGAAAAATATAAAATAAAGAAGTAATCTATATTATATTATCTATACATATAATAAATCTATAGAAAAGTCGTGTCTGTAATTCTAACATTTTCTGGAAAATCAATTCCAGGGTACTAAAAAAAGGGCACTGAAGCCAAATTAGTGGTTTTTATAATTTTTATCTGTCTGCCTGTGTATTCCCGATTCACGCAAAACTACTAAACAGATTTCTATGAAATATTGTGTGTGGGTAGTTAGGGACCGGGAGCAACTTATAGGCTACTTTTTATCCGATTACAAATCTTTAAAAAAAGAGGGTTAAGTATTTTCTTTCCTCAAGATGTTAATTTCTATTTTATATGTATTGCTTATTTGCTGAGCTGGAGCCATCTATTACCGTCACTGAGCAAAACCTGGCAGACCGAGTTCGGTACATCATGAGCTCAAAAACATTTGATTTTGCTGAACTCGAACGGCTTAGAGTTGCAGACAACGTGTGAGCTGGACGTACCGAATATTTTATTAAATTTTGATCATAATCCGAAGTAAAATATCAGATTACGTATTGAAACTGTGTAAAAATAATACTACAAGAAATAAGAAAGACACTGGAATCACATACTATCAGTAAGTATCATACGATTTCGAAATTTTTACATAAAATAACACGAGCCATAAATAAGTCACAAAATATGAATGACGCTATTCAGTGTTGCTACGTATGCAAAAATAAAGGTCCCCGTGGCTGAGATTTTTATATGTGAATTTATTGTGTGAACGCAAGTAAGACGAAAGTGATGGTTTTTGAAAGAGAAGAATGTAAAACGTTATGTGAAGTAAGAATAGAAGGGGAGTTGATTGAGCAAGTGGATGAGTTTGTATATCTGGGATTTTTATTTAGCAGTGATGGTAGAAATAATAAGGATATAGAATGACGAGTCAACGCAGTAAATAGAGTGAATGAGGCTCTACACGCTATTGTGAAGAGTCAGAATGTGTCAAAGTAGGCACGTATGGCAATTCATAATGCTGTGTTAGTCCCTACTTTAATGTATTGTAGTGAAAGTTGGGTCTGGCAGAAGAAGCATGAGAGTAAAATAAATGCTGTAGAAATGCGATCATTAAGGAGTATGCTAGGGCTGAATCTGAATGACAGGGTGAGAAATAGTGTGATAAGAGAAAAGTGTGATTTGCAAGATGGCGTTGTGACCAGGATTAAAAAAGGAATGATTCGGTGGTTTGGTGGAAATAATGAACGAGGAAAGAGTGACAAAGCAAATTTATATTTCAGAAGTGAACGGCAGAGTCGAGAAGAGACGCCCTAGACGAAGATTTATCGACCAAATTTGTCAGATTAAAAGTACCCATAACCGACGAGCGTGTATGCGTAGATATATGGATGTAAAGGAAGCGAGAGAGGTGTGTCAGGATCGCGCCAAATGGAAGTCCGTAGTCTCTGCCTACCCCTCTGGGTGACAGGAGTGAGTGTTTGTGTGTGTGTTGTATTTATTTTTACTATATTTTATAATATAATATATTTAACTTATTATAATATAAGCTAATTCTATATTATTTAATGTTTATTTCTGTAGTATTGCTCAAATGACATAATTACCGTTTATTAGAGTTCCGTACCCAAAGAGTGTCAACGGGACCCAAGTATCCACTATCGTTCCGCCTGTCTGTCAGCAGGCTGTATCTTTACGTTGCTGCAATAACAACATAAAATAAAATGAAATATTAAAGGACCCATAAAAATCACGTTTCTTGTATGAAGACCATACAAGAAACGTGATTTTTTTCTGTATTGATATGTGTTTTGTTTACAGACTAAAACGAAACCTGGATTATACGCAATAAAATGATGCTATGTGTATGGTGGGTAAAACCATCGATTCGGATCTCTACTACCAATAAATAATGAGACAAGCAAGAAAAAAAAACGGCTGGCATTGATAATCAGAAAAGGAGTGGTCTTTCATCATGATAACGCCAGATCAGATTAGTTATCTGTTTGAGGCTTTCAATACACACTAATATTCCTAAAAATCCAGTATTTGCTTGAGTACTTAAAACTGGTTTAAAAGTTTTAATCATTATTTTCTTTTGTTGCTTGTGTTTTTTAAAAGAAAGCTTTCTGGAGGTTTTAATATTTAAGTTTATAATTTTTTTTTCCATTATAAGAGCTTTATAAGGCACTTACACAATTTCGTCTGCCGCGGTGGATTGGTATGAACAAGACATGTATGAAACTGGAGTTACACGGATTCAGTGACGCCTCTGCGGATGCGTATGCTGCTGTAGTTTACGCCCGCGTGGTAGATGAATCTGGAACTGTCAGGGTTACTCTCATTACGTGTAAAACCAAGGTAGCCCCAATAAAGCAAGTGTCTATCCCGAGGCTAGAGTTGTGCGGCGCCGTTCTTTTGGCGAGATTATTAAGGGAAGTCTCTGAAGTTTTGAAAGTACTGAAGACAAATCTACATGCATGGACGGACTCCACAATTGTTTTGGCTTGGTTGAGCAGTCATCCAAGCCGCTGGAAGACGTTCATTGCAAATCGAGTTTCAGAAATTTTTAACATTTTGAACAGAGATCAGTGGTCACATGTGTCATCTACTGACAACCCGGCAGATTGCGCTTCCCGTGGAGTAAACCTGTCGGAATGTGAAGCAATTCCCCTCTAGAAAGCTAGACCTGCATGGTTAAAGGACACGAATATGGAATATAACAGGAAGGAGTTAAGCGACACGGATTTGGAAGAGAAAGGAAAGAAAGTTTGTCATGTGACCAGGGAAGATGAATTTGAATTATGGATTAAGTTTTCGTCTTTACAGAAATTGACCAGAGTTATAGCTTATTGTTTGAGATTTATATCAAAGACGAAAAAATCTACTGAAGCAACAACATTTCCGGGTTGGTTAACTTGCAGAGAACTATCAAGAGCAATTCAAATCAGCATAAAGGCGTGTCAAGCTACGTACTTTGCACAGGAAATCAAAGATATTAAGTTTAGAGGTGCAGTTAATAAGAAAAGCAAACTTACCACTTTGACCCCTTTCCTGGACGGTGAAGGAATTTTGAGAGTTGGTGGTCGTCTTGAGAGAGCTGATGTAAGTGATGATAAAAAACAGTTTAACAGTGGTAGAGCCACGCGGCAGCTTTTGCTGTCGTATGGATGGGCCGGCTCGAGCCGGGGTGGTACCACGACCTCACAGAAAACCAGCGTGAAGTAGAGGTTTACCTCTGCGTTTCGCTTGGTGAGTGCAGGTGGCCGGAGGCCCTTTTTACTGGAAATGAGGCATTCTATCTTAGTCCTCACGGGTGACAACGCATCTACATTTTGATTTGTAATAGAGGATAGATGTAGATGTATATGGGCCGCAGCAACCACTTACCATCCGGTGGACTGTGTGCTCGTTTGTTACCCTTATCCTATAAAAAAAAAAAAGCACCCGATTATCCTGCCATCGAAATCGCATTTCACAAATCTTATCATTGCAGATGCCCATCAAAGAACCCTACACGGAGGTCCTCAATTGATGATCAATTACCTACGATCCAAATATTGGATCCTCGATGTAAAAAATCGTACCAAATTATTTGTACGCAAATGTGTCACATGTATACGATATGCAGCACAATGTAGACACCAACTCATGGGACAACTAACTGTTGCTCGGGTCACTCCAATCCGCCCATTCTATCAAAGCGGCGTGGATTATGCTGGACCCATCCAGATAAGGACTTCTAAAGGAAGAGGTCATCGAGCGTACAAGGGATATATATGCCTGTTCGTATGTATGGCTACAAGAGCCGTACATTTAGAAGTCGTAACCGATCTTACGTCACAGGGATTCCTCGCAGCCTTCAAAAGGTTTGTTTCTAGACGGGGCCATTGCGCTGATCTCTACAGCGATAATGGAACAAATTTTGTGGGTGCTGCGCGCGAGCTAAGATTAGCTCAGGAAAATTCAACCATGACGAGAGAAATCGCTGAGAGTTTAGCTACTGCTGGGACCAACTGGCATTTTATCCCACCGAGAGCTCCTCACTTCGGTGGACTTTGGGAGAGTGGGATAAAGTCCACAAAACATCACCTGAAGCGTGTGATCGGCACAGAGACCCTAACTTACGAGGATATATCTACTCTGTTGTATCAAATTGAGGCATGTCTTAACTCTAGACCGTTGTCACAGGTTAGCACCAATGCACAAGATCCAACACCGCTCACACCGGGACATTTTATCATCGGTGAACCCTTGGTGCTTGTTTCAGATGCCAATTATGAAACTTCGTCAATATCTTCTCTGAAACGCTGGCAACTAACCCAGAAAATGTTACAAAACTTCTGGCGAAGCTGGTCTAGCGAATATTTGACTCAGTTTCTGCAACGTCACCGGTGGGCAAACCAAACACCAGAGCCTAAAATTGAGGACTTAGTTTTAGTTAAGGAGGATGATCTTCCTCCAGCGAAATGGCTTATGGGTATTATTATAGAAAAACATAAGGGTGTGGACAATATTACGCGGGTTGTGAGTCTCAAATGCAAAGATGCCATAATTAAAAGGCCTATTGTAAAATTGTGTGTCTTGCCAGTGGCCGAATAATGCCTACTTTTTTATTCTCTTTCGTGTCAGT